AATTGTAAGTAGAGATATTGTCCTGGAAGTGTTTTGTAAATTACTCAGAACAATGTCAACTCCAGCAATTGGTTGCATTCAGTTTAAATATTTTGAGTTATTCATTGCCATTAACAGAAAATAGCAATTCTTGTATTTTGCACCTTCTCTTTTTTTTTAAGTGAAACTTGGCAGGACCAACCACTCCTTCCTTGTGCCAAATTATGCACTATAGAGTTCAGTCCATGGAAATTTATTGCTACAGTTGATGTAAATTGCATCTAATGGGCAGATGACTCACGGCTGTGCTGACAGCCAGCGTTGCATCCCCAAGGCACATAGGAGCAGGTTGGAAACAAAGGCATAATAAACAGGGTTTATCTCCAGTTCCCCCTTCATGTGACAGTTTTTCTTCTCAGTGCTAGGCTACACAAGTCCTGGGATGCTGCTCTTTGCTCAGGTGGCTTGTATGGCGGTTGCAGTAGCCTTAAATTGTCCTGGCTATTGCTCCCAATGAAGACTTTTGAACACAAGCCGAGTGAATCCTTTTTGATTTCCATTCAATATTAAGAGGCTTGTTTAAAAAGCAATAACTTAACGTGTTTCATTGCTTTTCTCGCAAACACCAGTCTGTAATATGAAGTTTTGTTGCATATGCCAGGATTGGAGATAGCAGCTGGTTATTGATACTGTGCTCTCCATCATGGACAAGCAAGTCTTGCATTTTCCCTTAATGTTGTCACTGCAACGACAACCACTGTATGGTTGTGCCAAGGACTGAGGGCAGATCTGATAATTTAGCAGGATTTTAAGGGCTTGTGTAGGCTTTTTCTAGTGGGAACAAGCCATTGGGATACAGTTCTTGTAGTCCCCTCCTGCCCCCCATTGAAAAATTAGTTGTGGGGTGTGGGAACATCATACTTGAAACTGGGGAGCATCATCTCATTGTCCTCCTGTGCTCCCAAGTCTCCTGTACCTGGGTGCGTCATTGTAATGTTGTTGGGTTGGGGATCAGTTTGGTTTTGTAGCATCTAATGTCTCTGGCCCAGCCCTGACCTGGGGGCATTAATGTGATGTAACTGGTACGTGAGCGTTTGGTCGCACTGGGAAGCTAAACCAGTTTGGAATGCAGGCGGGGAGGGATTTCTGCCCTGCTCCGAAACCTTTCAGGGCTGATGTGGATGGAGAATCCAGCTTTGTCCTGGAGCAAGTCCAAACCCCTCTTGCCTCTCTGGTTGTGAAGTATGAGGTAAATAAAAACATAATTGTTATTTTGCAGAAGGGCTGTTGGAGGCTTTAGAACAGAGGAAGATGACAGATACGGAGCGGGAATGTCCAGAACTGCAGCAGCATTTGTTAAGCTACTGGCGAGAAAGAGTTTACTCCAGCCTTCTGTAACTTCATTTAAAATGTGATATAATTACTGTTTACACTACAGCCTAAAGCCGCTTCCTGTTTCCAGTATAGTAATTATGCCAGAGGCACCCCATTTATTCAGAGCATATCAGTCCAGGATATGGCCATTACCACATCAATAGGAAGTACCTTCAAATTGTTATGCTTGGCTTTCACCATATCCTGGAGTAACAAACTTCTTGCCATTCAGCTCAGGAGTTTATAAGCATCTCCTGATGAGAATAAACAGGAAAACACCCTTCCCCCCCCCCACCCCCTCCCCCCATTGCTTTAAATGCAATTAATTAATCTTAAAGATGGTTTTAAAGGAGATGGTTTGAAGATGTTTCTATATGCTAAAGAAAGGCATCAGTGTCCATACATGGAGGTGAGGAATGGCAAAGCTGGAAGTAGTCTCTGTGGTACAGTAACCCCAAAATGGAGTGGGTGTCCCAAAGCTAGGCTTGATGCCCATACATTTTTCTGCTCTGAGGTGGAGTATACCACACTGGGGTGAGTAATGGCCTTTTCAGAGGGTTGGTTGCTGGGAGGAAATACCACATCAAGGGGTGGTTTAATTCCGCAGCTTGACTTG